ACAGTCAAAACTGTATGTGACGTAGGGGGAAAAGATTAACTGCGCACATGTTTTTGAGTTCCAGAATACCTTCCCGTCATTTTAACTATAAATAGTTGAAAGGCGATTAAAAGTTTAACATAAATAAATAAATTTTAAAAATCGTAAGATTTGCAATATTTGTAAAATGGCCATTTTCGTTTCTGAGTTATAGACAACTTATTTGCATCGGTACACGAATTGCAAGTATGATTTTTCAGTAATTGCGAACAAAATAGCAACTCGCCCTTACCTCTACTCTTACCATTACAAGCAAAAGTAGAGTTCAACAAAACGTGCGCATAGTGAAGCTACATTTACGTCCAGAAGCAAAACAAGGGGCCATATCAGCATTTGCTCAATGGATCAGGGGAACTGGACAAAAACCTGATCGAGATGGGTGTCATTGATTATATGGGCCATAAACTTCGTCACACAGCCTTAACTCATCTCTATACACACTGTCGACGAAGACGTCCCGTAGGGGCCACAGCGGAGCAATCGTGGATGATTTTACAACCAGTAACTTGAGGCAATGAAAAGTTAAAAATGGGAGTTGAAGGGTAATCTTCAAAATACTGAGAGTGATGAAATAATTTTCCACAAACATATGAGTATTTATTACCTGAATTGTTTGGTTTCTTCTCAAGTAAATTGCCTACTTGGCAACTGCGGATTATAAACATTTTCTTGCGAATTTAAAATGAAAATCATGGCGCTTCAAACCTCTTTTTAGGTGCGTCATATCTCAGTTCATGCTTATTATCATGCTATAAATGTAAGACTTCCGAATATAGTAAAGGCACGAAATTCTGAAAAGGGCACCAGTGCAAAAAGTAATAATTACGTTTTGCCATAAGAAAGGGGTCGTCCATAAAATATGTAACGCTGAACAGGGGGGAGGAGGTTTGAGGCAGCATTGCCCTGCGTTACATAGGGGCAGGGGTATTCGATTGATGTTACATAATTGTGATATTTATTTTTTAAATCTTTCAACATATGCTGAAATAATTCCTTTTATTCAATTTTATACTAAAAGATTACGAATTAACGAATTCAATTAAAAATTCAAAAAAATTAAAGAACTTATCTTCTATAAATTGTCACAATAAATGAAAATATTTTCATGAATTATATATTGATTGAATCGTTTTGATTACGAAGAAAATATTAAAAAAATGATGTGTACTATATTCTATAATCCAATTAGTAGACTCGGAGCATATGCGTCACCCACGGCTTGTCAGAAATTGTTTTGCCCATGCGTCCTAATTTCACTAACAAATTGTCCCACAAACATATTGTTATGCGCAGTCTGCACTACTAACTAATTCTCATGTTAATTAAAATAAATTTTAATGTATAGCACAAATACAATTAATACTTGTTTCTGCTTTGTAATTGAGTTTTACTTATTGGAATGGGCGGGGGGGGCTTGTCGTAAACGTTACGTAATTATATAGAGGGGGTTCAAGCGCACGTTATGTTCGTTACAGAGGAGAGAGATATTCAAAATACTCCAAATTTGGGTTACGTAATTTATGGACGGCCCCTAAATAAATGATAATATCAACATTAATGTAATTGTCAGTCCTAATCATGTATTAACCTGATGTTTTAATGATATTGAACATGGTAGAATTTCTATATTTTGAAGAGTAGTAGTACAGGAATTTGAAAATCAATATAAAGGAACACCAAAATGCTTTGGCTAGTGTGTATAACAATTTAAATCCAGATCTGCAGAGCGTTTCTTCGAATATGTACAATGTACGGAATTTTACAAAGGTTCTAACAATCAACGCATGCTGATTACGCGATTTAATGAATAACTCTTGGTCTGAATAAACACTCATTAAAAATGTCTCAGTTTTTCAGAATTCCTTAATTAGTCAGTTTCCTACAGCTAAATTAATAGTTTTGAAATACATTTTCATGTAATTTTAATTATTATTATTATTATTATTATTATTATTATTATTATTATTATTATGATCATCATTATTATTATTATTATTATTACACTAAATTATTGAACTCTACAGATCCATGAATATCCACATGTAAAATGGAAAAATATTGTTTGTATCAATAATTTTCATATCCTTTCCAGATGAGGGAAGGCTGATCCTTACTTATTTGTAAGGACTGAATTAAACCTGTGTCTTTTCTATTTTTAAAACTGGTTTTTAGGAAGACTATTTTACAAGCCTAAAATATGATTTGATAGTTACAACTGCTGCAAAATCATTTACATTACTTCCAAATATGGGCTATTGGTTTGGTAGAATGATTAAAAAAGAGAAAATTCTTTAAGATTACCTGGGCATGTTATAAAATTGATTAACAAGGGAAGTGAAACAAATTCATTAGAGTTATTCTGCTAGTTCCACTTTCTCTCAGACAAACTTGGTTTTCTCACTATATCCTTCCTTTCATTCCAGTCTAGAACATGGTTATTGCAAAGGGGAAATGAAGACTTCTCTTCCCTCATAAAAGGTTCCTGGTTGAAATGCTACATTATTTCCCTTCAAACTGAAATTCCATTGATTTAAAAAAATTGAGATTTCTTTTTTAACAATTAATAAAGCATTTCTAATGCTTGCAATAGACTTAATTTTTTCTCATTTCTCACATTATTAACTTAAGTTATTCAATTTAATGACTTGAAATTTTAATGTTTATATTTAATGCCAATACTATTGAACATGTAAGAAAATTAATTTCTTTGCAATATTTAAAGATTTTGTATTCTCCTCTGTCAAAAAACATTTACTTTTATCTTGTAATTATTTAACCTTTTCAATCATGTAAGATTTAAACTATATTCCAACAAGTGAATGAATCAAAATGCATGTACCAAAAACTATTCCACAAAATTAATGTATCAAAAAGTATCCACTAACTGTGTTCAAACATATTAATTGAAATTAAGGCATTCGAAACATTTTAATTTCGTAGGTGAATGGTAACTCATGTTATGATGACGGTTTTATATTTTTACCTTAAAGAGTCTTCTGTAGAACACTGATGGGTCATACCCTCTTCTTACAACCCGATAAAGAATCAATATTATTCCTAATCGCTTTGATTTTGTTAATGCCGAATACCAACACTGAAGAAGTGAAAAACTGTAGCGAATCACACAACAACAAAAATTTTGTTTCTCAAAGTTCACTGGAGGAGAAAATGATGAAGGTTCGGAAGAAACTTCTTCAGATTGTTCTGGGATGCACTCTAAAACACGGTAGGTTCTGTTTACAAATAATTTAATTTCACTTTTGTTCCCTAGCCTGCTTAAGTACAATTCATTACTACTAGATGTTCTTTGTTTAATATTATTTTTGCATTTTTGCACAAAAACTGATTCATTTTTCAGAGTATCATATCTTGATAAAATTTTTTGAGAGTTTAATAATGGTGTTTTATAAGAACTATCATGTTCCTCTGTTGTGGTTTCACCATCTGTTTCTTCAATGGGTTGCAAAGGTTCTTTAATTTTTCTATTACACTTCACTAAAACATATGAACTGTCACATAAATTTTCTGATTTGAAATCCCAATCTTGTGAAGAAAGATCATGTAACACTGTTTCGCTTTCTGGCAAAGTTGAATTTAATTGAATTTGTTGTTTATTTTGATTTCTATTTTCAAAACAGTTATAATTATATATAGATTTTAAACCACGTGCTTTACTTTGCATCCATGAAAATATACTTTCACCACACTCTCTAGAAAAATTATTAAAAGACCCTTTAGATTTATTTAAGAGAATTAATTCACTTTCATTCACTGACCCACTTTCTTTCAACAAACTTTCTTGCTCATTGCTGCTCAACTTTTGATGAAACACATTTCTTCCCTCACAGTTGTATTTGGCCAATCGATGATTAACAATTGTTGCTTTCACTGAACTGATTACATTCAAAGGACTTTTTATATCCATACTAATAACAAACACCACTAATTCACTATAAATCACACTACTGAGAAGCACTCAATCCTATTTTGAGAGATTCTACTACAGAAGGTTGCCATCTGCGTTTCCCTCTGGTCACTCTGCAACGAAGGCTCAGAAATAACTGATTTCGTGAAGTAAAATGCCTCCAGAAAAATAGCCTGACCAGATGACTAGCAACCTCAGTGAAGCAGCACAGGACAGATGAGAAAAAGCCTGTGATTTTATGGTTGATTGGCTGCAGATGACCTGCTCTACTTCATCTCTAATTTTTTTGAAGAACAATCAGGAGAAAATGAATTCCACTGCACTTTCTCACAGAATAATCAAGAGAAGGCTTCAAAATTATGATAATGAAAACCAAAATAAATGTACAATGTAAATGTATGATATCATTCTGCCAAGGAAAAATCTGAGTACTCAGAAATGTGAAATTAATTGCAGATATTTTATGTAAAAGCATGTTATTTTGACATGTTTAAAAATTATACTTTTCTTTCTTTTTTTAAATTCATATTTCTCTCATAATAATAAGTGTCATAGAACTATTAATTAAGGTTTTCATTTTGATGGTCAACAAATAGTTATTACTTTTAGGATTTATTTATGGTTAACTTTCTCAAAACAACTAGCTCTGTGAATCAATCCTTCACTTTCCCATAAACTAATTATTATTGATAAAGTTGTCTCTTAATATAAAATATCAATGAATAGATTGCAAAGAGTCAATTTCATTCTATGAGATTAACACTTCTTGCAAAAATGGAATTATGAAATAAACCATATTCAATTAACATACAGAGAGAGGAGCTTTCTGAATACTGTGTCACAACTGGCTGAGTAACCTCACATGCTTCGTTTAGCATGACAGGGAGAAACTTTTCATGGTGGAGAGGAGGTTGTAATTCCTCTAATGTTTCCTCCCAACTATTTTAAAGTTCTTTCACAGTGAGAAACTCTCACATATGCACACACACAAGTTACAACATCTATTGTCAAATATCAGTAGGTGGTAATTGCTTACCTTCTCACATTCCATGATGTACTTCTCAATCATGGAGCAAATTTGATTTGCTCGTTGGGTGTAGAGAAGAATTCGAGACCCTGAACTCAGCACAATTTGCACTGCACATCCTTTAGGAACAGAGGTTTCAGCAATTTCATCAAAGCTGTTAAAAAAAAGGAAAAAGACCAAAAAATAATGAGTGTGTTTGCTCTTTTCATTGCTCTAATAGCTACATTGCCAAAATTTTGCTTTCAATTAACTGGTGAGTATTTTAGATAGTAAAATTTGCAGTGCTCAAACAAACGAATGATAACATACCTAAAAGTATCCAGCACTTGCAAATAATCTTCAGGTACACTTTTCTCTCGACGTATTAACCTCACTCCAGAATGTGAAACAGCTAGGTGCTGGACAGCTGGGTGTTGATGGCCTCCCTGAAAGTAAACAAGTGGGGTATGTTCATTTTTGCATTAAAATTTTCCAAGTAATAAATATCCACTGTGATGTTATTTATTGTTAGATAATTTATTATTTTATTTAATAGCACTTAATTATATAATTTAATCACTTTATCAATTTTATAACAGCCAAAAACAGCAAAAATTACATGAGAACACTATAAATAGATTGCAGTCACAATCCACAAAAATGACACTTCTAGCAAAAAGTCAAGTATCAGTGATTATATTGCCAGTGTGAAATACTCACAGACACAGGGAAAATTCTAGCAAAATAAGTGGGCCAATCTTTGGCCATATCCACCACATTCTTTTTAATTGTAACTTTTTGATGCCCTGAGTGAACATTGCTCAAAGTGACACCATAACTATCCAGAAGCTGAAAAAGAAAAGCCAATGTTTTAAGTAAATCATTAACAAAATTATTATTGTTTTTTTCTGTTTGTTTCAGACTAACTATCTAGAGAAAAGTTACAAATGTGTTTACCTTTTTCATTTTGGCACGTTGCTCTCTGCTGATACGCACACATCCACCCCCAAGGCAGTCTTGCACAACTTGGCAGAACACAAGATGTAGAGCCAGGGGACTACTGAGAGTCTCCGTGGGAGAAAAAACCTGCAAGCATTTGACATTAATTTGAAATTCATTCATGATATTTTATGGAAAGTGAAAAGGAAATGCAAAAGTAGTTCATACCTCTTTTTTCACCATTAATTTCCAAGAAACTCTATTGTATGTAAAATATGCTGCATTGCTGGGACCAAAGAGTTTTGTTTTCATTGTTTCAATATTACGACCTAGGTCATTTCGAGTAATTTCCGTTGGTGGTTTACTGTCCACAGGTTTCAGGAATTCGGAAGATTCTTCAACTATTCAACAAGAAGTAAGCATTACCATTTTGATTTTACTATAAAACTTAAAAGATATTTAATATATTTTGTTAAATGCATATAATATAAAGAAGAGTTTACAAAATATTACCTAACAAGTATTTCTAAAATCTATTTAGATATTGCTCTAAAATGCTGCTTAAATTTTTAAATTTATTATTGGCTAAATAGGAAAAAGTCAGAGAAACTGTTCAAAGTAAACTTGTTACTTAGTGAATAAGTTTGTCATATTAGTGAATGAAATGAACATCAAAATCACATCATTTCCTAACAGTATGTTACTTACTTTCAATCCGTTCCATTCTATCAGTTAAATGAGTGGAAGCCGATGATCGTCTATCTCTCTCAATCCTGGTGTTTGCTTGTTGCACATTGTTGAACACATCATGGCTGTTATGTTGAATACCAAAGGACTCTCTTCCATTACCATTATGCTGGTTATTATACATCTCACGACTAGACTTCACTGGTTGTATTGGTGGTGGAGGTGAGCGGGGATGAGGTAACGCAGGTGTATTGCTGCAGGCAGAATAAGAAATGTCTATTATGCTGATGTACTGTATCACTTAATGAACTGTCACCACACTCACTTTCTATACGATAATGGGTCATGGCAGTCACTAATAATTTGAATAACCACAACTAAAGTAACACAAATATTCACAATGATTCAGGGGGTCCTTCCACCAGCTAGCACACTCACAAATGGCACTAATGCTTCCAACGCACATGTCTGTATGCAGAAGTCTTCTACAGTCACTTTCACTAACCAGCAGTGGCTGTCTCCTGTCTGCACTGTATCATCCAAAGCATCTTACACCCTGTGTCTGTTTTCTCTTCATTCCTCTGAAGCTCTTCCTATGTTTCTTTCCTGGTTTCACCAGTTATACAAGTGGCATTTAAACTTTAATTTCTAGACAGGATTTGTGATATGCTGCACTCATTAAACCACTACAGGCATGTGTGAAAGTAAAAATAGCAATAAAAAGTTCAACCATGATGGAATTGACAAGTGCAATAAAACTAAAGAAGTGTTACTAATGACATAAACACTGAAACGATGTTCCAAATAATAAAAGTGAAACACTAATTGGTCTTGATACAAGAAGGCAATTAACTTGTGAAAACCCATCCGAATCATTTCATTATTTCCATAAAAGACAAATAGTGGTAGGTAATAGTAGTAGTTCGTTAGTATTATAATTACTTTATTATTATTATTATTATTATTATTATTATAGTAATAATAATAAAATAATAATAATAATAATAATAATAATAATAATAATAATAATAAATAAAAATATATTGTGCATTAATGAAATATAAATATAAAAAGACAATAAATGTAATATAATGTACTATTAATAATTTTTTACTTTTATCTTACTTTTATGTTTTTGAACACACAAAAACAAATAATTAAATGTGGTAGGTATTAATTACTTTAAAGACATTTAAATTACCATAAAGAATTCAAACAGTCAGAAATAAATTGGTTTGAGAAAACAAGAAGTCATTTCACTGAGATGAAAAAATGTCAAGTTAAATGGCCAGTAAAATCTAAGATAAGGGGTTGTCCATAAATTACATAATACTAAAGGGGGAAGGGCAATATTACACTGTGTTGGCATAGCATATACATTAATACTCCCTTTTATTCAGTCTTAAACAAGGCAACAAAACATTAGAAGAAAAAGAATTAAAAGTTGTGATGTGTAAATTGCTGTAATGAATGGGAATATATTTTTCAATGGTATATTTATTAAATTTGTTAGATTGCAGAGAAAATATATTTAAAGCTGATCTTTAGTATATTCAAGTATTCAAGTAAATTAGTGCTAGATACTCCCATCCATGCATCATTCATGACAGTGTCTGCCCAGCACAGTAGAAACTTTTCACTTATGTGTCCATTCTTCCCTCAACAATTCTCCCCGTCTTTATTGTAAGGTAACAGCAACACCAACTAATGTGAACAGTGGGTAATGTTCAGATTTTATTTGATAAGTGAAATTGAATGAGTTGAAATTTATTTTTAATCATCTGCAATTACATATGAATAGTTTTAAAAAAGTTCTTAATCTCCATGTTCCTTCAAGCAAATCATCAAGACATTACAAAATTACGTAGTAAAAGTGCATGTGTATACCTTTTGGGCATGCACAATTTTTGGTCCTCTTGGGAGTCCTTGTCAGTGTTCAGGGTATTGTCTTTTTCAGAGTTTAACTGTGGATGGCACTACAGTGAATTTCCTACCTCCTCTGCTCTCTTCTTTATACTCTCACAATCAGTGATAAAGTAAATTCCATAATTATTGAACGTGAAATTGTCGTCTGACAAAGAAATCACAAATACACTAATTTTAAGTTTATGAAGGAAAATATCTGATTAGAATTTATATATACAAATTTCTTTTAACTGTTATATAATTTGTTTTTACATTTAACAAAAGTGATTGGGCAGGGTTGACATGTGTAATGGAATTATACAGGGGGTTCATGCTTGAATCAGTAGTGTATTACAAGAGGCATGGGGTACTGAATACAATTCAAATTTGCATTATGTAATTTATGGATGGCTCCTCAGAGAGATCATAGAAATAAGGACTTCATCATCTTTGCCTAGACTATGAAGGAGAGTCCTTAAATATGTAATAGTTCTCTATACAAGTGAAACCTTGCATCATATTAATAATTTTAATGCAAAATAGATAAATATTTGGATTGCAAGAAGAATTTATTATTAAAAATTACCTATTCAGTGTGAATTGAATAACTTCAAATAAATTTATCAGTTTGTTTAAGAATAAATTACTTATGGAATACAACAATTAAATAAATATAATAAATCAAAATGTATATGTAATAAAAATAATAAATAACAATAACCTTTGGGAGTAGAAACTGCTAGCTCTGGAAGCTGCAACTGGAGGTGCAGGACTGGAATCGATGAAATGTGGAGTGACTGGTGGAGGAGGAGGTGCAGGCCTCCAGCTGTTATTTGCAGCTGGTTTGTCCCAACCATTATTGGTGGGCGATTTATCCCAGCCGCTATTTACAGATGGCTTGTCCCATCCACTTGTATTGAGGGAAGGTTTCTCCCAACCACTGTTGGTTGCAGGAGGTTTCTCCCAACCTCCACTATTTGTTATTACTGGTTTGTCCCAACCATTACTTGTTGGCTTTTCCTCAAATTTAGGAGTTTTCTCCATACGCTCAACCTAGATCACAAGAAATAGTTTTAATAATTTGAACAAATATCAAATTTGTATCAATGCAATACTACAGAAATAAGGAAGGGATAATTCATAATCCTTTCATTTATACTGATTATAAGTTTGTACATTTAATTTTAATTTCCTTAAAAAAAAAAACAAAACAAAAAACAAACCACACACTCAGGAAAATATTTTTCTTACCTGACTTCTGACAATATTGGTTTGTTGGATGTCCGAGTGCTCTTCTTTTGCAACACCTCTGGATGGCACGTCTACTGAATCTTCAGAGCCCCAACGACCAGCTGGAAATGTAGCAGTTATTTAACAGAAAAGTTCTATATCAAACCAAAAAGACAGGTTATAGATCATAAATATTTTATGAAGTTTTGTGTTGTAGATTATGTACATCACTTATTTGTAACCCAGCCATAATTGAACCATTGAAGCATGTGAATCGTATTTTAAAACATACTCATATGAATTGTCATTGAACAAACCTAGTTGTTGTTCTAATAAGAGGCGTCTATTGTCTTCCAATTTCTTGACTGGCTTATCATCTCGTTTGGAAGGAATAACTCCTGGTTTTTCTGGTTTGTTAGTTGCCCTGAGTAATACAAAGTATAATATTAAATTAAATTTTAAATATTTTTTTGGCATTCATGCAGTCATTTTATGCGTCAATATGAAATTGATTAGAATGTTAGATAATTTGTCCACATAAAAAACCTCAAAACACAAAAATTTTACCTGAGGCTATGATTTGCTGTAACCATCTCCAGTTTTGTTCTCATTTCACAACTAATCTTTAGTTTGCCAATGCTACCTGGACTAGGCCTTGCTGCTCCCACTTCAAATGCCCTGAAGCAGAAAGAAAAATTTTGGAATTAATACATTTTACTGCAATTTCAAATACTAAAAGAATCAAGAGACAAAATCATTCAAATTATACTTACTTAATAGCGTTTCTATCTTTACCATCACCCTTGTTATCTTTGACATGATGTCCACTTCCTGCCTTACTATCTTTTCTAACTATAGCAGCACTTCCAGAAGAATTTCGATCTGGATTTGCTGTTCCAGAAGACCCTCCAATTTCAAATTCCTCCCATTCTATGCTTTCAGCTTCAATAAATTCCTGAAAATATAAGGAATGTAAAACTCGCAACATATGCTTATGGATGGATATAAGTAAAAAAATGTTTTGGACTTGGAATAGTTTTCTCTTGGAATTCTTTTGTATCTTATTTTCATAAATAAGAAAATGCAATAAAATATAAATTTCCTGATACCTTAAACTGGTAATTAAAGTATTTAATGACATGATTCAACAAATAAGTCTTCCTTAATTTTTTATGAATTTTTGAAAGTAGCTCACCGCAGATAAATGCTGTTGCTGGGGAGTAGTTTTCCGTTGCTGCTGACGCATTTTAAATTGCAGGAAGCTATCAGAAGTATCTTCTGTTTCCGCTTTTGGAGGTGGCCATCGCCACTTCCCAATTCTCACAGTCTTTGCCCTGCCATAGGGATCCAGAAAGGGTCTTGCTTCTGAGGGATCTCCATGGTCTGGTGGTGGTGGCATGGGAGGGGGTGGGGGTGGGGCTACTCCAGATGAAGAAGCCTGCAAATGGTGCAGATCATGTTAATGCATTCTTCCTATGGTGATACCCTTATGTATTCAAATTATCTATGTCTCAGTCAGTGAATGCCAACTATCTAGAAAGCTAGATATTGGTGTCTTATTTAATTGTACATTTTTGACTTCTCTCTAGATGGTAATGAATGGTTTCTACTAGTTCTCTCCATCAACAACAATAAAGACTTTTGTGTAGATGAAAACACATCATGACATGTCACACTTTTTCAATTTGTGTCTCAGGAAAGTAAATGTGCAATTTCACCTATGTAAGCAGGATGCACTCTGTTTGGAAAATTGTTCTGAATGGGCCAGATTTTCAATTCTGCTTGGTAAGTAATTTACTCACTAGCTAGTGAGGTAATTGGCTACCAACCAGATTTAAAAATTAGGTTCCAAAGAAAACATAATTCAAATTACATTTATGGATTTGAAGGGTATATTATAAAATGGACAATAGGACCATTAAACTTCTACTAATTATAATTTCTCCCTTGCCAGCTTGCATTCCTATAATATTACATTCACACAGAAATACGATACAGAATAATAAAAAAATCTATTTGAAGGCTTACATTTAGAAACTAGTTTTATTTTTTGTACATTATGACTCAAAAACATTTTGACAGAAGTAAAACTTGATGGTGTATGAGAAATGATAATTACATATGAATGTGGCAATATATAATTTCTTTCTAGCCAATTCCTTGCCTTAAATAAATTATCAGAAATTAAATGATTGTACAATTATTAATGTTGATGAAATGCACTGTATTAATGATAGAAACAACACAAATGAAAATCAAATATTATTCATCAAAGTGGTTCATGAACAGTTCAAATGTTTAAAAATTATCTGAACTAATATAACTATCTATTCTTTATTATTAATGCTATAGAAGTATGACTCATTTAAGGATGTATAATAATCAGGTAACAAATACATAGAAATTGAAAAATGAAACATGCTATTGTGCTATAGTGCGTGTGCTTTGCATAAACATAAATATGAAAGAAACAATAAAACTTTGTAATTGTGACTTTCCTCAGTGCAAATGTGCTAAGTTGGTTCAAACAATACCACCATTCTCAACTTTCAATGTTCATTATGTAAAATATGTACAGTTATTTTGTATCTATACAAACAGAGCATGTCCTACATTTTTCCAATAATTGTCATGATACAAGAAGATTAAAAAGTGATGGTAATTAAAAGATGCAAAGGATGTACAGATAACAGAGAAGTCTTCATCCTTCAGAGATCAGCATTTTAATAATTCTGAAAACTGCAAATTTTATATTGTATTGTATTGTAACTGCTTGTTACCATTCCTACTCATTTCATTCTCTTCTTATTCTTCCAAATGTTTGATAATGAGTAAGCTCACATTGTGTTGTTTGCCAGGGAAGTTTTTACATTAATGTGGAATATGGATAATATATTCTGTTGCTTGGCTGACAAATGATACAAAATATGTCTTTAAGCAGTTGCAAGACTCCCAACTGTGACTCAAACATTTCCAACACAAGTCTGCCAATGGTATTGTCAACTGATAGTAACTGCATAAACTGTGCATTTAGGTATTCACACGGCACAATGTCACAAAAATTCAGAATTCTATGGTCGAATTGCAGTTTTAGAGGCTAGAGAATTTTATACTCTTCAATTAATAACCGTCACTTTTAAAACAACTTGTATAAAATTAAACCATTGTTCTACTCAATTAACATTATAGGTTGATTATACTTGCAAAACTGGTATCAGTTAAATGCAATTATAATACACATTCTATACTTATATCAACCGTTGTAAGGTTCTTCAAAGGAGTTTAATCTACCTTATTGCTTATGGAGTATGTGGATTCCACAGAGCTCTTCCTGTTTTTCAATTCACTTAAAACACTTGTGAATGCTGTGTGAGGGTTTCCTGAAGGGTGTTTAGTAGGACTCAACTTTCTAGGAGGACTTGCTTCCTTAAGAGGAGACTGAGGGCGATGGACCTGAAATCCACATGTTTGTTCATCACCAAAAACCTGGGATGTCTTAGTTCGCACATTTTAATTTTAACTGAATTTTACCTGAGCTCTAGTTGTTTCTTGTTTTGTGAAATTTGGAGATTGTTGGTGCTGTTGCTGAGGGGTAGTAAATCGAGGTTTTGCCAAATTCGGTGAATTATATTGTTGATGAGAAACTGATGTTGTTTGACGCTTCTCAGTTGACCAAAGTTCACCATTTTCTGGCTCTCGAAATGATACCTTCATATTCACATTAAAAAAATTGTAGAAAAATACTTAAATGATGTTTTTAATTTTGTTCTAATGAAACAAATATGAACAATTAAGATTTATTGTATTGTAGGTAACAATTTTGTTTTAGAAAATATGTCAATTTTTATGAAACTTTTAAATATTAAAAATGTTACTCATGTTATGACATTATTGAAATGTTAATGGAAAGTTGTAGACCTCTCAATTGTTCATAACTAGAAATTCAGTGAGTTATTCAGGTTACAAAGTTATTCATGCTCTAAAAATTAAGAATAAATTTTAGTTTTTTGTAAATTCTTAATAAATTAAATTGGGCATGCAATAAAAATGTGTATATTTAAGAAAATGCTTTTGCCTTTAATATGAGTGTTTTGTCACCTGCAATTTCATTTCTGAGAATATAATGTTGAAAATGTTATGAAAAGGTGAGAGTATGTAAATCCAGGATTGCCAGATGAAGAATACAAGTAATATTTAATATTACAAGAGTTAATTAAGTACTTTTCTGTACTTTCAATAGTTATAGGGCCACAAATTACAAATATCCCTTTGAAGAAATTGTCTGTTTATAATCTGAGAAATGAGTACAAGAATTGTCATTCTAGCAATCCTGGGGTGAGTGAAAAGAGGGGACCTGTACTACCAAAGTACCTTGGAGTTCCTGTCTAGCGAATCATAAGAGGGCTGCAGCCCTGCCATCTGGTGGTGGATGCCAGACATGCTCATCACGTGCACCCCCTAGAATGGTGCAGACAACACGCAACATTCGAACAAGATCGTTAGATTTTGTGCAGGCTCAAGGAAAAAATTCCATGATCCATTACCTTAAAACACTATTGTGCAGCCCAACTGACAGTTGAAAGTTAAATAGTCATTCCAACATGCTTGATGTGAAATGGTTCTTTCATTAAATCTTTTAAGAGATTTCAAGCCACATTTATTCTCAAATAAATTTAGACTTGATAAATAATATTATTACAATGTACAAACATATTTTAGACTGCATACTTCTATTACTATGAAACTAATTACAATCTGGAGTGTTTTCCACAATATATTTTGAATATTAGATGAAACTTCTACAATAATTATTGTTTTACAATATTGTAATGGCTAAAATGCCAGAAAGTATTATTATACTTTTTTATTCGAGAAAGAATAACTAGAAAACCTAAATACCAGTTTAAATATATTTATACCCTTGTAGTAAAGAGCATGTCATGACAGCTCATGTACAATTATTTCTACTTAGAAAAGGCAATCCTGAAAATTTCTAAAGAAAGATAATGAAATTAATAAAAATGGAAAGGAATTAGAAGTTCGCACTGTATGAATTCTACAAGAAGAATATGATAAGGGATTTTTCAAACACTAATGACTCAATTGCACTTCTACTTATGTCAGCATATAGTTCAAAATTATGAAGCAGATTAATAAAAAAATGTGAGTTAAAAAGGAATGCTTAATGAGCAACAAATACTTAATGAACAATAGTTATATTCAGGGTAGGCTGTTTAATGCAACAAAGATTTTTGATGTGAAATTGAAATTTATGTGTGTAAAATCAAAATTACATGCTTTCAAAACAACCAAATGTTAAAAAGAGAAATTTGAGTGTTAAGGGTTATTAATTGCATAAAGCAAGCTTTTACAATAAATATGTACAAATGGAGAGAGTTTTTAAAAGGAAACTTTCATAATATTCTGCAAGCTCTCTAAGAAATTACTTTTACTGTAGTTAGAATTTCCGTCTTGAAATACAAAATAACTTTTTCATATTGAATAAAATGACATTTAAATTTTTGTTTCATTACTTACAATATTTTAAGACTTTTTATTATTTTTTATTTACATAATATCTTTGACGCAAGTAATCATGGCAAATTACCGACACCAGATCAGCAACAAAGAAATTTAAGAAGTAGCTGAAGAAAGTCCCTCCTGTACTAAAATAGTATACATGCAATTAAACTATTGCATTGTAATTTGTGTGCATTAAGAGAAAAAAAGATACTGGAAATATTGTAATATTATTAGTGCTAGTTATATGCAGTGCTCCATAGCCATTTGCAAAAAGTCAGTATGTGAGAAACACTCCATTGTTACAAAATACTTATGTACACTATACTATCTATATACGAGAGTGTTTTATTAAAATAATTATGAAAATAATTGAATTACTTTTGGATGAATAAGAACTGAATCAGAATACATTCTTGCCCTTATGTAATATGTATTGCTTGTTATGATAAGTTCATCTGACCCAAATTGAGAACAATGTACATTAAGAAATGAATTTGAAATATCTCTATTTCGTGAATAATTTTTATTAAGAAACAACAAAAGCTTATATCATCATCTTTTTGTGTCTGTATTACAATGTCAAAAAACTGAGGGTATTCTTTCTATGAATGATATAAAATTCAAAGTATGCAACTTATTGTCACAAAAGAATAGAGATAACTTTACAAAAGAAAAGAGATGACTAAATATTTAATTTTATGAAAGAAATACATACTGGTTGCTGCTGTTGCTGTTGCTGTACAGCAGCAGGCTGCTGTAACATTTGTTGCAGAGCCTGATTTTGGGCCAACAGTTGCTGCTGGATCTGCATGTTTTGAGCCATTGCAGATTGTAAGAAGGCACGCTGCAAGTTCTGTTGGTATGCTGCAATATCCATACTGGCAGGTGATGCAGCTTGAGCACCTTGATTAACTCCTGAGGAAGGAAATGTTGGAAGGCTGAGACCTGTTGATTAATAATATAAAAATATAAGGACATATGTAGCTTAGAAAGAGCAGGTTGGTCAAGATCTGAAACATCAAACTATCTCTAAGTTTCTTATAACTTCATTGATTCTGACTGGTGGCTAGTGCCCTCAGAGGTAAGGTTCACAAAATAAGGTTACGATACATGTGACTTAACTCTCATTTCAATGTTATCAGATAGTGAATGCATTAAGATATATTTTTAGTATTCATTTCTTTACAAAACTTGTATTACCCCAACTGAAAATCAACAAAGTTACTGCCCCTAAAATGATACAATATAATACTTTTTCCTGTTGTAGAAATTACAATATTGTATTTAATGAAAGAAAATGCTGTAGTAATTGAATACTGTGTATTATTTTCTGAATATGATAAATAAATGAAAAAGCGAAATAACTTTTTCCATGACCATTCATTTTGTGAAATTGAACAAATAATTCTGTTTTACTTTAAGCTGAAACATACTTTATTTATTAATTTAAATTGCCCATAAATACAATTTTGTTCTTTCTTAGTGCGTGCTTCTCTGAAGTCATATTTTGTCAAAGATAATAATTATTTAAAAAAACATATTATCAGAAGTCATAAGTCATATTATGACATTAAAGGAAGATCTATTGCAAAGAATAATGAAGAATATTATTGAAGAATAAAATAGATATTTATTAACAGTTGACATTAATACTACAACAGCAACTGTGAAATGTAACTGTGAAAATACAAGTTATACTGTGAAATAATGTTTTAATTCAATTTAAAATTACACAAACAAAAAGCAATAAGAATTTTATTTATACACTGAAGATTTGTTTTTAATGTGGAGTAGACCCTTCATGAAAGGCAAAAGCAAACGAAATACATTTTTTTGTGTTTTAGAGAATGATATCACAGTCACAATCTTGGGTGAAAACTGTTAAATAAAAATATTGACGATCATTAATAAAAACTGATGAATATGGAAACAAAAAGAATGGAAACATACTTGAAAAATGGAAAAAAATCTATAACATTTTTACCATGAAGTTTCTTTCTTTAGATTTGTTCTGGCAATAATTGTTAATATGAGATGAAAAGGTATCTTAATAATTACAAATCAGCTTAAGAAAAAGAAGCAGTAGATCAATATTATAAGCAAAAGTGAAGAACAGGAGGAAACAATTTTTTTCAAGAAAGAGCCCAATCACCAAAATTCAAAAGCTACATGAAATATGGGCATACCTTGCATGTTGTAGATGGGCACAGGCATGAAGCCTGGGGCCCCTTGGGCCATGCCCTCGGGGCCAACCTGCGGCGAAGGGAAAAACTGGGGCATAGCAGCCATTGCCTGTGCAGCACCCGCTGGAATATTGCCTGGTGCCATGAATGAGAGACTGGTGGAGGGCTGGGCTGAGGTGAAGTACCAAGGAAGAGTGCAACAATTAACATGCAACAGAACAGATTCAGAATAGATCTGAACAGAAATACTCTGCTGCTGACTTAGCAGACTTAGAATACTGTTTAGCAGCAGTATGATTCAACAGTGGATGACACAAATTTTGTAAAGGATGAAAATACATGCAAGAGAAAAGTGAATCATGACAGTAATATGTGAACTGGAAACTATGTTTCAAACATAAAAAGCATATCTACGCCAAATTAATTTTTTGCTTTAAGAAAGCCGTAATAACATGCCAAAATGATATTTTTACATTTATGTTGCAACATTCCCATGCACTTTCCTCTAAATTATATCATATCACTAATTGCATAATAATACATTCACTACACACATACAAAAACACAAAAAGAATAGAAATATCCTTATGTATGAAAATAAACATATAGTTTTTACATTGGTTTAATAATAATTTATTACACAAAATTTCTTTGCAACTCATAAAGTAGATTGTTTCAAATATTGACATTATTTACAAAGTACTAAGCATGCCTTGAAAGAAGTATACCTGCTGGATTGTACATAGGAATTGTTGGCATCATCATTGGGGGAGGAGACATCATCCCTGACATCATTAATGGTGTTGGTGATGTCATACTAGTAATAGGTGTGAATCCAAAAGCAGCCGTACTTTGATTCTGAGCAGAACTCTAGAAAGGGAAGTAATGTCTTTGTATTCTTTTTTAACTAAGTACTTATTGTTAATTGCAAAAAAGTGGACAGTTTGCACGCACTACTCTCATTATACTTAAGAATTCTAACCTGTTGAGTTTCCATTCCTCCAACGCCTCGGCCACCACCTTTAATTGAGTCTGCCAGAGTTTCAGCTTTTGTGAGCCTTCTCAAGCTATCATTAACAAAGATGGGTTTGAACAAGTCTGTTATGTAATCATCTACATTTTCAACATTACAAGGGCTGCGACACTTTGGATGCCTAGAAATAATATCAAAGATTGGATGATAAATGATTTAATAAACAGAAAACAAAAATAAAAAAATTAAATTGTGATAATACCTAATGCTAGATGCTGTTGAACCGGTAAGTGTTGCTACTTCATTGTCAACAATGTGATCAGGATCTAAATTGTTTGCTTGAGAAACTTTGCGATCACCACCTCCTTTAATAGAAGCTGCCAAAGAGCGAGCATCTGATAGTTCATCCAAATTCCCATCAAGAACAGGCATGAAGAGATCATCCAAAAACTGATCAACATCTGAAGCCTGAGAAGGGACTCGTACTCTTCGCACATGTGATGCTAAAGTAGAATATTAAACAAAGAAGTATTAATTGAAAAGATTATTCTCACAATTGCAAATTATTCATATTAGAAACCAATACTTCATTTTGTGTAACTAAAACTAATATAGGCAAAGTAATAATATTTATCCACTTTGATTATGTAAAATCAAATTTTCAAGATTAGTTTTGTATTAAGCGATATTAAAACACACACGTTAAAATAATACATGGCCTTCTATTAACTACTATCAACACTGATTGATGGTCATTAGTCCTGAGATTGTGGTGCAAGTTTTTTTCACGGAAGGTGATGGTGATCTTCCCCCACTGGATGGTGAGATTCTGTGCCAACCTACTATTTTGTGGAATTTTCTCCAAACTTTTATCTCTCATCAGCTGGAAACCATTCCAGCTTGGAGAAGCTCTAAGCTCTCAACTTGTTTCTTGGCATGTGGGGTAGAGAAATGTATGAAAGTATAAGTGTGTGTAAGGTAGGACAAGGAAAGATCATGCATGGTTCCTGACCCATTTGTTACAATACTGTTTTGGCATTTGATTGGTGTTGATCAGAGAAACAATGTAAAATACTGATCAGAGCAGCAGACCACAAGAATTCTCCTTCAGACGATTGAATTCAACCAAGCTATCTAGCTAGAGTTGGTAATCCTGCCACCATTAGAACTTGTACTTCGGACTTCTTGGTCAGAGGCACTGTAGTGACATTAGTTAATGCTCTGAGTCAATCAACATAGGTCTTATACTTTTCATTAGATAAGTAGTCAAATTTAAAGAAACATTAAAGTACATTTGTACTGTAATGTGAATACTATTTGCACTGGAATATAATGTGAAGTACATTTGTACTATTAATGTAAATACATATGAGGTATTAGCTAGCATACAAGGAATTGCTAATGGTTTAAAAATGTAATGATTATTTTACTTGCAATAAATCAAACACACATCACATGAAAGTAAAATGAATGTCATAAAATACCTAAAGATGGTGCTTCACTAGTATCAGATAATGCTGAAGATTTTCCTCCATATTCAGATTTTTCTGAGTTTCTTGTTTCAATGTAAGCACGACTAGAATGGCTGCCTGGCGCAGCTCTTTTCCCAGCATAGTGTGATTTTATATACCTGCAATACAATGATCATGATGGTTGTAGTTGAATATGTTAAAACATAATTTTTTTTAAGAATAATATTGTTAAAACAGAAGGTTTAGCAACTAATTGTTCTTATTTTCTTTGCAAAATAAATTTTTAATCTTGCCCTTAACAAAACATTATTAAACCTTAAATGCACAATACCTTGGGTGGCCTTTGACGTAACTGCCTTTATCATCTTCACTTCTTGTTTGGCTTGCCAACTCATGGTAATCAAATTCCAAGTCTCCTCTAGGAGTATCAAGCAAGTCAGATGGAAGCTGACCAAGCACAGGAGATGAAGGACTGTGGCCATTCAAATTCAAATCAGTAGCTCTGTTATAAAACATAAAATATCAGTTACATAAAACTTAAATTCTCAAATTTTATTATCACATGTAGTTTGAAGTATTAACAACTATGTTATGTATTTGTAAATTGTTTATGCTAAATATAATTACCTGCTGTTGTTAAGACTGTATTTTCTTGAATTATCACCTCGTTGAGATACTGATTCTAAATTGTCTTCCAGAAGAGCTTCAGATTTGGTCATGTATTCCTTGTTTGACACAGCAGTAAGCATCATTGTCATTGATACATCATTACTACTTGTAGTTGTTAAATTAACTTTCTCCACTGAGTGGTATCTGTCATTCAATCTACTACGAGACAATCCCAAACTTTCCAGTTTTCGAGGAGGTGGTATATCCTAATGACAGACATCAAGATAAATTATTATAATTTAATAATTTTTACAAAACTTCTTTTGTCAGCAATTAATTTACAGACTTAAAAATAATTACATTGTTGGTTACATTACATTTTGTGGTTAGGCAGAATAGTGGGAATGATGATCCAAGTCTCGCCACAAAAATAAAGTCACTATTATTACATTTTCTGCAATATTCTGATATTACCCTTGGGCTTACTGAAGAAATTTTGAAATATAAAATGATTTAGGGTAGTCACAGACTATGCATATTTTATTGAATGTTGATTTGCAAAATGGTGTTTGATAGTGAAGAAGAAATTATTGATTTCAGGAACACATTATAAGATGATATGTACAAATTCATATTCAGGAAGAGCTTTCACATGTTTTTAATCCTTCTGATATATTGAAAACATTTCTTTAAATCATTTTTTTGTTTCAATAACTACTAAATAGAGTTCCTCATTTGAGTCATTATCAATCAAAATTATTTTATAACAATGAGATCAGAAAATAAAAATAAAAGAGTATTAAATATATAATTGTTCTGAGAGATCCCAGTAGTAATTTAGTAAATTAATATTAAAATATTATTTTTATTTATGAGTTGTAATTTCTTTCAAATGTTGCAGTCCATTATCAAATCTTATTGATGTACATTGCGTTCATGACAATAAATATATTTGATTATCTAAATAGTGATATTGTAACTTGACATATAGACATTAATGTTCCTTTTTCATGCAGTGATGTAAAGGCAATTCATTGTATTTATATTGAACTGAATTGAACATAATTATTTTTATCTACATATTGTGTTAGCAAATTTGTAATGTATTCTTAGCTCTGAGTGGTTAACTGCATCTGACAACAAAATATTGGCAAATAGAGTTAAGTAACCCAAGTTAGATTTGAGTTTTAATTTTTAACAAATTATTAGGATTCACAGTCATCATTCGTTCCATTAAAAGAAAGTTGCTTGCTTTGAAATTTAGGGGAGTTCTCACCGATTCCAATAAGTTATCCATACTTCGACTTCGACCTTTGTTTTCAAAGTATCTGTCATTGAGAGCAGATTTTCTTGACAATGCCATTTGAACAGTATGATCTCGAGATTGTGATCGTACTCTACCACCTTTGTTGACAGACTTATCCTCATTTTCTCTCCACATAGCATCTTCTTCAATTACTTCATGTGACATTCTTCTTACCTGTATTAAAAAGAATACATTAAATGTGTATTTACAGGTAGTACTAAATCAGTTTTGAAAAATGTTAACTGTAATCTCACAGGTTGTTTAATAACTGGAGGTTCTGGAGGAGGAACAGCAGGTCTTCTTGGGGTACTGGGAATTTCTGGTTCTATTTCTCTAGGCAGAGAATTATGCACTGGAAGTGGTGTAGAAGTTGATATCTAAAAACAATGAAAACATATTTTGTGAAACATGAGTAATATGTGATACATCTGAATAAAGAAGAAACTGACAATTTAGTGTCCTCACCTTTGCATTGGACCTTCGATGTTTACCATCTCCAGACGCTAAAAAGCTATTCTTGCAGGCTGGGAAAGCTGGTGCAAGTTCCATTTCTGCTACTAGATCTAGTACATAATCCAAGCCATTTGTCTCTTTGACAATGGTCTCATCTTCCAAGCTAATAGTCCATCCCTCACATTCCATTATTCCTCTCTCACGGACAACATGAGATGCCAGCTCTTCACTTGTTGTCCATGAATCAACTGGAGTTGTTCTAGTTTCACCTAGAAACAATAGAAAAGTTATTAAGCCTTGAATAATTTGATTAATTCCTATAGCAGAAAAATATGAACTCTTACCATCATAAAAATGAACTGGCAATGCCATGTTTACTCGTTTACGGTTAGATCTCCATTCCAACAAACAGGGTGGATAAGTTCTAGCCACCTGACATTCACTTCTAGCAGATTGTAAGAGTTTCCGTTGACAGACAGCTTTGTATCCATTATATCCATTATCCGACACATACCTAATTAATAAACAATAAAAAAAAGTCAGCTGCTGTGTCACACCAGGTGTAGGAGAGTAGTAGTTAAGTTTCAGGATATATTTTTTAAACAAATACACAAATATTTGTTGAATATTTTATCAAACATGTAATCATAATGAAAACTTCATATATGTGCTTATGCTAGGTATAGATTGATATGCCTTCATTGATACATATAGATCATTTTCCTTCTATTGAATATGCTGTAGTTAGTTCTTTCATTTTTAAAAATTTGTTCTCATTTTTATTGTCATTTTTAAATACCTAATACAAGACCAATTTTTACATATCTAATAAAAGACCAATTTTATAGGATATAGATACCTTTATCCTATTTACTATCAAATTGGTCTTTTATTAGATATGTAAAAATGTGTGTTTTATTAGGTATTTGGACAAGAGTCCAGGAAACCAGAAATTATTATTTGCAAAATGAAATTGTAAGAACCATATACACTTCTTTAAAATACAATCTAAAACAAGCATGCAAAATATGTAAATATTTAATGTTCTTACTTTAATAAATATTTGTACAGGGTTTTAGTTGGAGGAAACACTGAAAGACAGTTGGCAATAAGCAACCACCCACGCTCATTATTGGCATCGTTATCATTCTTCCATGTTTGGTTGCAAAGTTGACACAGAATTTCATCTCTCATTTTTTCATTTACTATACCCTAGAGAGGAAAAGAAAAATATTAATAAAAATATTGTTGTAATCCTTCAATTTTTTATTTATACATTTCATTATTTTATGTGCCAATTTACCTTATTAACAATATAATCTCCCAATGCAATTTCTTTTTTTCCACTCAAATTATTGTCATTCATGAAACGAAGAATTAATTTAAAAATGGCTAAGGAATCTTGGTAATCAATGTCTTTTGATTTTGCCAGAAACGGAGTTTTGATTGGTTCTCTTTTCATGCCCCATAGATGAGACTGCAAAGAAAACATATATGACGATATAATCATCTTTCTTAATAAGAAGTTTCTTCTTTAGTATAATATCAAAATTCTTTTTCTCTCACCTTAAAATAGACATTTGTAAATTTTGTGAATGCATGATAATCTATGTCATGCGGCAAATGGAATTTCTCGGGGTGACTTGGAACTCCACCAACCACTTTCACCAAATTCCTTTCTGAGTGCAACGGCTGCCAGTCTACAAAAAACAACAACAAAAAAACCAAAAAGATTTAAAAATAGGATATAATTTAAATATAAGATACTTCAAAACTTTATATTTTAAATTCCTTACCATCAAGTTTGCTGAAAATGAACGCCAATTCTGCTGGAATTTCTAAATGATTCACACCTGCCACAGCACGAGAGACTCTCTCTTGCTCTTCCCTTTGAGCTTTAGCCTTTGCTCGTTCTCTGGCAATTTTTTCAACTTCTGCTCTTCTCTTTAGTTCCTCCTAAAATTTCAATATGTGAATAAACCTCTATCTTTCGAAATTTGAACATAAAGTATCATCATGAACCTTTAGTACCTTCAGTTCCATGTATCTCTTTCGTTGTCTCTTCCCTCTGAATGCAGCTTGAGCTTGCACAATGCCCTTCCTCAGAACCACATACTTCTTACGAGCATTATATCCTCTGACATGAGCTTGAATCATAACAGCACTCTTTTTGGCTGCCTGGTATCTTCTTCTTGCTAGGAGACCTCGGACATTCCGTTGCACAATTATAGCTGCAGAATTCACAATATCTGCACGTTCACGTTCCAATTTCCTCTCCAAATTTTCTCTGAGGAATACTCGGGTAGTGCCAAGTTGATAATCATTTCCCTCAGGAGTTTTAGGAGCAACTGAATCCAGAATAGCTCGACACAACTCTCTGGTAAATGCAAATTTATACAAAATGAAAAAAAGGAAAAGATAATAAAAAAATTAAAAATAAAAAGGATTAAACATACCTGTAAGGTGTTCCTCTCTGGAAAGCATTGCCTCTGTGAGGCAACAAGTAACGATACCGTTCAACAAAATGTGAGAACTTCAAGCGTATAGGATACCCTGTTTTGCGTATGCGTATTGTTTCTAACATGCCAGTGTATCTTAATTGTTCCAGAACAATTGGCATGTCAAATTTCATTGGAGCTTTATCACTGTTCGGTTTGATGCATCGTACAAACCATGGATTACATCTAGAGAATCAGGATCAAACAATTATTATTGCTACAAAGTACTATTCTGAGTAAAAATAATAATAATTGATCATGACTTTGGAACTTACTTGGACATTGATTCAAGAAGATGTTGGAGTGAATCATGAAATCTAGCAGCTACAGTAGGAGTTCGTGGTTTCATTGTTACAAATCTGCCATTGGCTTTATTAATAGTTTTTGCTGCTTCATGGCTTGACCGTAAATTTTGGAACATTTTGCTAACCATCTGAGCAATTATAAAAAATAAGAACAATATTACTCGTTTGTGACTAAAAAGCAATCGTTAAGTATATCAGAATAATTATTACCTGAACTTTACTGCTAATTAATAACTCGACAACATCGGGGCGCAAAGTATCCCTATTCTTGTCCAGAAAGCCTTCAACACTATACCACACTTGTCCAGCGTAATGTTTTACTCCAAATTCCATACTTGACATTCGTGGTCTAGAATATAATTCATCCAAAGCATGATTGTAATGGCACTTCTCCAAGAAAGATAAATCAGTTGCTTTTGGAAAATTGCTTTCATCATCCAGCAAATGAAGGATTCCAACAGGCTTCTTTGCAATTAAATGAATCACTGGGAGATTATCCTATAAACATATCAAATTTGGGTAAATTTATTTAAAAAACTTTCAAAACATAAAAATGTTGCGAAAATATGAAGAAAACAAATACTTACAGTATAAGTAATAGTTTGCCACTCAATTTTTTCTTTAGCATATTCTTGTTGTTCTAATTTGAAAATATGCTTGTTGAAATAAAACTGCAAATTTTCATTTGCATAATTTATACATAATTGTTCAAAACTGTTTTCCTATGAAAAAAAAAAAAAATTTCAAATTACAAATTGTGCATTTTGGAAAAAAAAAAACCAACTTCACAATTGCACAATTTTTTAACTATTCCAATAAGAAAGTATAGCAATGACTGCTTCACTTTTAAATATTTTTTCACCAAAAATAATTGAAAAAACATTGAATGAATTTGCTGTCAATATTCCACCAATCTCCTTAGTTTTAATTATTTTCTCTTTGAAAAAACTGTTTTTAATAATTTTTAAAGTCATAAATTAAATTTCTGATTCATACTTACTTTGAAGTCTTCAAATCCAAAAATATCAAGAATTGAAATGGCTGCTGTTCTTTTGGTTCCTTTGTACACTATTTGATTTATTCTTGATACAAGCCATGAAAACAAGGCACTATACAAAGCTTTGGCAAATGCATCTCGAGCGTCTAATGCTTGATCAATACTAAGTGGAGTAAATACTCGTTCATTACGAGCCTCCTATCAGGAATAAATCAATTCATTTAACATGAACATTTTGTCAGTGAAATAGATAACAAAATTTAAGAAGAAATGCATGACAGAAGTAACTCACAGTTGTTTTTGTGGTCAGAGACCGCTTTATTCCATCAGCATTTAATTGTAAAAGATGACCTGCCCATTTAATTTCAGCATCAGAACCAATCTCAACACCTTCTTGACCATGTTTAAGTTGTTTCCGATGAAAATAAACATTCCCAAGATGAAGAACTGAAAATTATCATTGTGTTAGCAGAATGAACATTCCCTCACCAAAAAAGAACAGAGAAGAAAATTCAAACAATACCTGATGCCAAAATTTTGAAAATTGTGTCCTGCTCGTCGGATGTAAATCCTAACACTTGCATTGCTGATAATAATGACTGAAAATCCTCGTTATCAAATTTACCATCAATCTCACAATTACCTCCCTAAAAAGAAAACCGTAAACTTATTGACAGAAAACTTCAAAAATTACATTTAAATTCAGTAATTGATAAAGTTCTTGCCTGATTTAAATAAAAGTATTTTTCAGGAGTTTGTAACCCGTATTTTTCTTTCTGTTCATCTGATAATCCCTTCAACATCTCGTAGAAAACGTGGTAATTCCTTTCTTCTGGTGCTTGAGTTACTATTCTAGATTTCTCTAACAGGTACTCTGTGATCTTGGCACCAATAATGATACCTCTGTACAAAAGCATAATGCACAATTAGGCAAATTGTAAATAAAGAACAATAGGACGAGATATTGGAGGAAACATAGAAGCAACTTACTCTTTGAAATGCACTTCTAAGTACTTTCCAAAACGTGACGAATTGTCGTTTCGTACAGTCTTTGCGTTCCCGAAGCTTTCCAACAAAGGAGATGCTTCCAAGATCTGTTCAGTGATAAGGTTTGAAGGTGCCTTGTTAACTGCAGCCAAATACTGCATAACAAGCTTGGTAGACTCAGTTTTTCCAGAACCACTTTCTCCTGATATGACCACAACTTGATTTTCAGGGGACATACCCTCCTTATTCATGTGACTGTAAGCTGATGACCCAACAGCAAAAAGGTGACTGGAATTCAAAATTTTTCATCATACATTGCACTGCAAAGTTGTGCTACTCTGAAAATATTTTCTAGCTAATCTTCTTGCTCAGTAACCAAATGCATCTTTTATAAAAGTATATAATTTAATTTTGTTGACACTGGTATTGCTGTATAAATAGGGATCAAAAACTTTTCAATAAAGACAACTTTTAAAATCTCTTTTATTAGTTAGCTCAAACATTGGGAAAAACTAGCATTGAAGTGTTTATGTATTCTAATATTTTTAAGCTTCAACAATATTAACTTACGGAGGTAATGTTCCCAAAATTTGGCCTTCGTATTTTTTTACCATATCAAGGCCATAAATATCAAACATCTTATAGGGATTCACAGCTACTAGGATACTCCCTGTGTACGTCTGAAATGCAATGAATATAATTACAAATATTAGTAAAACAACTTTTATAAGAAAATTAGTTTACTTTACATTAAAGGAACAGGATTTACACTGATTACTTTGGCTTGTTAATCTTTAAATATCTTCATAAAAAACATCAGAGAAAATTCTTTAATAAAAAATACAGTAAGAATATAATGCAGATATAAAAAATATACTTACATAAATTAATTCTTTATCATATCTAATTTTTAAATTCCAGAGAAGTGATGCTTCATTTAAGTCTCTGGAATCATAAAATGAATTGAAATATAGAAACAATTCATCAACAGTACATTATAATAAAATAGTTTAAGATACATGGATGTTCATCTTTTTACTTACGAAAGTTGTATCATATCCTCGATGCCGGTTTGGCCCAGGTCTTGTCTTTTTCGAACGCCATTTAAATTGGTTAATGTGAACACTTGAGGCTGTAACAAAGAAAAATTACTTGGTAATTAACGTGTTACTAACTTGAAAGTTTAATGTTAATTAATGTAACTTGTCATTTAATACAATACATTAATTAACATATTACTAACTTCAGAGTTTTGTGTTGGAAACATAAAATAATAAAGTATTCTCAGAAGGTGGGAAGGGGGTAAGAATTTTAGGTGTATTTTCCTTTTATTATAAACATACATTTATTATAACATTTCTTATATTATAAACATACAAAACAAGATACAAATATTTCACGAAATAGGAATAGGAACTTGTCATTTCAATCATCTAACATACTTTAAATAGAGTAAAATAGAGTAGAATAGCTATGAGCAGACATAGCTATTCAATTTGGGGATGAGGGAGCAGTGTCATAAGGTAGATCTGAATGCATAATTTTATATTTCCGTAATTTTATTCAATTTATTTTTAAAAAAATTAGAAGTTGATCACTTCCCTTTTAAAAGAAGTGTACACCTTTTTATGAATGAAATTAATACATGTTTTTAAAATGTCAACTTATCAAGCGAATTTTTTTAATTAAAAAAAATTAACAGTGGCAGGCATCCTGAATTAAAAATGCCAACCCCAACTGATATAACTTCGTAATCTATCCCCGTGGGTATGTGATTCATTGTAACATTTAAACTTTTTTTATACATTAATGTAATTTCGCCAATGTAGAGTAGTTCACGCCACACAATTTATTTCATTTACAACAATTCGAGAAACAAAAATTAAATCCCCAAACATGGCTTAGTGAACCTGTCTCTGTTGGTATCTGCTGCGGATGACGCGCCTATTGCGTAACATGTAGATCTAAACTGAAGGCCAACTTCATTCCATTGAGAGTAGGTCAGACGGAATTCCACAAGGGTTAGAAGCAGGGAGAGAGGATATAGTGAACAACAGTCTTCTATTTCCATTCCGAATTTACTACCGACCTAGACCGATCGCAAATAGAATTCAAAGTTTCCACTCTGAATTGGATTTACATTAAACTTGTGCAGATACATCTTATTTTATGTTCAATACATTCGAAGATGTTTCACTTCTGAAGATACGTAAAGTATGGGATTGTGATTACTTGTTTATTAAGTTTAAGATTAATGCTAATTTTAATTCCATTTTTGTAACGTTCAATGCAGTAACAGCCAACAGTCACAAAGGTCAGCATAACTATTACTTTTTCTAATTCGTAATGCAGAGAATGCTATGTAGTGCTGCAAAAACATGTCGCAAAATACTCGTACATGTTTTGGTTATTCTTAATACCGAATAAGTGTTTTGCTTCCAAACGCCTTTCCGTCCGTCCGTGAACAACATTAGTTGTTTTCTGTCAGTCCGTCCGTGTCTAATCAATCTGGCGAATGCCGCCAGCCACTCGAATTCAAACGGAACTTTTTTTTTACGTATGAGTTGACGCCACTGGAGCATTTTCAAATTTTTAAAAAAATTGCTCGAATTTTTTCTTTAAAATAATTTTTTTCTTTAAATTTCGAAAATGACACAAATTTTCCCCCAACCTTCAATATTGAAGCTAAAGATTTCATATTTAATGCAATCTATTCCTCAGTATTACAACTTTAAATGATTTCATATACAAGTTTTTCATAATACGAGTAGTTTTCGCAATTTTTGAGAGAATTTTTTGTGATGTCGAAACCAACTGAACATTTCCAATACATCCCTAGTTCCTTCCAGCTGCATAGAGTGTTCCACTAAGAAGGGATCACTTTCACAGGTCGGGAAACAAATGAAAGTCATGCAGAGCAATGGCATTACAAGAGCTAGTGATGTTGCCTTTTGCAAAAGATATAGGTGTTGTGGTGCGCTATCGTTGGCATTTTTCATGAAATAATTATAAACGTTGTCATTGCCAACAATAGTATTTATTGCAAGAGCAGCTTTCGATGGCTGAGCCATCATCATTAGTTCTGATGATGATGGCTATCAACTGATGATGATAGCTAAGCCATCGAAAGCTGCTCTTGCAATAAATACTATTGTTGGCAATGACAACGTTTATAATTATTTCATTTTGTAAAAGCGCTAAATGTAAACGAACGCACTGACAAAATGAGTGCACGTACATAACCTGCAGTTTTGTTGTCAGCAGTGGCCAAGAGTAGCTGTCAAACCGACCCCCTCTTATAGTAATATCTCTATTCTCAGCTCACTTGATAAAGCGCCGACAAGAACAGGAGGTCTCTGATTCCAATCCTGGGGCGTGCAGCATTTTTTTAAAACACTTTCATATGTAAAGAGAACAATCCAATGAACTCAATTTCAGAGGATCAATTTTAATTACAACTTAAATGTTCAAAAATTACATATATAATTTGTTTTCCAGTCTCTCGGGCGTTTTTGTCAGGCTCTTTGTCAAAAGAGAGTGAGTGATAAAACAATTATAGTGAGAAAAGACAGTTTCAATATTTTTCTTTCGCCGTAAGTGGGTAGATACTTAAGTTAGATCACAATATATGCAATAGTTCTTTAAGTACAACGCATTTTTGAAATGATTGTTGGTTACTGTGCTTTGGCATGCAAGGTTTTTTGTTTTTGTTTATCAACAGAAGGATAAAGTGTTGGTTTAGAAGTTTTGACATTATGGTGTAATATTAAATAACCATTATAATTATTACGAAAAAGTAGAAGTTGTAGCACCACTAGTTGTTAATTTATTAACATTTTTATTCAGTCAGTAAGTGGGTCATAGTCCCAGACGCGTTGGCTCGCGTTCCGTCACCATGCAGGTTCGCATGGATCGCGTGGCCTTGATATCCTCCGAAAGGAAACCTCTCAACTGAGCCCCTCCTCTCGGGCGAAAGGAGCAGCATCGCCGTTCCGAGAAATGCCCGCTCTGTTCCCAGATTTGCATTCAGCTCTGGCTCCCGAACGGAGGGGAAACCCTTTTTTGAGTGGACTAAAAAGAATCTGCATCCCTAATGCGAATGTTGGGGGGCAGGCGACTGAAGCCCTTTCACGGGGCACCGCAACGACGCCGAGGGAAGACAAAGGGTGGCGAGGAGAGATAAACATCGCCTGTCTGCAACGGAAGTTGCGAAGGGGGGAAATTCATAAGTAGGACTCGCGATTTGATCACGCAGGTTAAATGGAAACGTTTACTTGCGAGGTGAAAAAAACGAGGAAAAAGAATTTAGGCGGGTGAGAGGTGGCTTTGGAACACAAAACGAAACGTTCGCGCCAGAAGGGTATGTTGAAGCTTGAAGAAACGAGTTTTTAAAGATCAGGAACAACTGACTTGCGGAAGTGAATTCTTATTAGGACCCGACGAAATGTTCTGATTCTCTTTCTGTAAATATTTGAAGGTCGGATGACGTGGCCACAGCAATCGCCATCTCTTTCTGTTCCGAAATTAAAAAGGAAGACATTTTTGTTATCGCTTAGTTGCATGATTAATTATTAATTGTTAATTATTAATTATTAATTGTTAATTATTAATTGTTAATTATTAATTGTTAATTATTAATTGTTAATTATTAATTGTTAATTGTTAATTATTAATTATTAATTATTAATTATTAATTGTTAATTATTAATTATTCATTTATAATTATTAATCGTTAATTATTAATCATTAATTATTAATTATCAATTAGTAACTATCAATTATTAATTATTATTATTAATGTTATTATCGTACATTTGCTTGTAATGTGTCATATGATCACATGTTTTTCTAGTTCCTCTAATGTATCAACATTTCCAATCATCAATAGTCCTTTCTAGTGACAATCACTAAAAAATTGTCTTATCTAGTAACTTAGTTCGTTATTGTGAACAAATGGGGAAGCAAGAGTAGTTCATGAGAAAACTCGGCTTGTGCGATAAAGTAGTTGGGTAACAAAGTGATAGGTCGAACTGTGAATGGAAAATTTATTAATAGAGTCTGCTGTGTTAGCAATTCTTGAGAAGTAATGTCAGTATCAGGGATGTGGGTAGACTCCACTAAATTCATTGATAAATATTTTTCAGTTTTCGAACAATTTCTTTGTAAATATTTACTCTCGAGTGTATTTCTCAATTACTTACAGCGATATGATCGTTATCGGTACACGATACTTCCATTCTTCACCATCTCAAATCAATTGTTATACAGGATGAATGTGATCGTATGTTTACGTCGCAACGCCTCGGCGACATGCGGTTCACTTTTAAAATCAGATGTTACATTTAATATATCAAGCTATAGTGTAGTCAGAACCGACAGATCAAATGCAAACACTCCCACAACAGAAAATCATAGTTTTTTCCAGACGAGCTTTCCCATACGCCCTTTAATCAACAGTCACACCGCATTTTTCCTTTATTAACCCTCTAATTGATGTACAGTGACCGAAAAAGGAGAAGTATACCATACTTGCAGTATATATAGTACTAATCCCAGTACGTATTTTTCTATGAATATAAATATTAACTCTTAGAGCCAAAATAAGCTAAAACGCAAAGAACGTAAAAATACCGTAGAAGAGCTAGCATCTAACTAACATTGAAATAGAGAAAGATTGCCAACGAAGCCATATCGTGATTAATTGACTTCTGAGACAAAAAAGGTAATGCTGAAAGGAAAATCCGAGCAGTTGGATAATCTATCTATATCAACGCTATCTCTCAAATGTCTGGACGCGCTGTAAACCGAGTCGAGGCATAACACGGTAGTGAGATAGGCAATATGGACCCACCAATTAATTGTGATTTCCATTTTAGCAGAACGAAAAGAAATGTTAAGAATAAAACAGACGCGAGCTGGTAGGTCTGCGGTCACACAAAGATATAGTACCAGTAGGTAAAATTAATAATTCTCTAATGCCCCCCACCCCGCCGCCAGATTGAACTGTTTGAGAGATCACACCCCAGTGGTGCATGCCGTCACGCTACGTGATCAAGAACATTACATTTCGCCTCCGCCCAACACCATCCCCTCGATCCCCTCCAAATTTATCATCGAAATAGTTTTTGACGC